TTCCTGGGACCTGAAAGAGCATCTCGTTACCACTCTGCTGCTAGGCCAGATCTCGTCCAAGTCAGAAAACGCATAGCAATGTGCTACATTCAGTAACAAAATGACTCTAGGGTCATTTAGAGAAAGCTAAATGAAGTGCAATTTAGCAAGAAGTATGGGAATTGATTTTAGGACGTGGCTGCTTTTTGTGGGAAACCTTAGCTTAAGAAGAAAAGCACCGAAGAGTTACAAGAGCTTTTGGCGTGCAGACAGGCACTTTCTTCTTGACCTGTAGGCTGTGCTGGGTCCGGAGGAAAAGCGAGTTACCCAAACTTCAATTTCAGCCTAAGGGCCTTGAGCTAGTTGGATAAATCTAGTCACCTGGAATTGGTTTTGTTCTGCTTTTGTTTTGTTTTTTAAGAGAAAGTTTATTTCCAAAGTCACAGAAGTAGGGTAAGTGAGCCAGTTGTTTATGGGCTTAGGAATCAAGTTACAGAGGCAAAAGAAGGGCCCTTGGAGCTTAGGAAGAAAAAGGAAAAGGTAACACACCCTGTGAGGGGAGAAGGTGGGGCGGGAGAGCTGGCCTTTTTTTTTTTTTTTTTTTTTTTTTTTTAATGCTGGTACATACTTAAGCAAAAAAGTTTGCTGACATTCTTTAATTCTAAAGAGCTTTCAGAATATCAAACCTATAATGTCAAGAAAAGGTGACACTTGGGCAATAATATTTAATCAACAGATTCTGCATTCTGAATGGGCTCCAGCCCAGCAATTTCATGTTTCAGTGGTTATTAGTGATTTCGTCAGAAACACCTTAGAGCCCAAGCTGGCCTAGCCACGGGGAGGAGTTTTTTTTTTGTTTTTTTTTTTAAACAAATACTCATTGCCAAAGTACTAAATATAGAGTAAAGCCTAATAGTTTTATTTTCAGACCAAGTGATAGTATCCAAGAAGCTTAGTTATCACTCCTCTAGGTAGTGTCTTGATTCATGTGTGTGTATTTGTGTGTGTGTGTGTGTGTGTGTGTGTGTGTGTGTGATTATGCATGCATGTACTTTTTTACCCTGCACACATGATACAAGTCCTTAACCTGGCCAGGTTCCCAAAACTGCAGAGGAGATCTGTGTTATTTTACAGTTCCTCTGGGTCAGCATTTTTAAGGACACATAATCCTAGTGGTACTAAAATGCCAACATCCATTTATTCTTTTCTTTCAGTTCCCACACATTTGTTTTGACCTTGAGGGCAGCCTCCCATTCCCCATTCCCCGGGGGCTGTCAGTGCCCGTGTCAGACCTCCGTGAGACTGGGTCAGGAAGCACACAGAATAGGGTAGGTGTATCGCCGAGGGAAGAAAGTGATACTTCTAGAAAAGGCTGTGAATTTGAAATTTGATTTACGGCTCTGAATGCTGGGACTATGCACTTTATAACCTGTTCACATCCCTATCATACTGGAAAAAAAAACACCCCAGAACATTTCTAAATAGGAGAGAAGAGCAACCTAGATGCCATTTTAATGTAAGATAATTGAGAGGGAATCCAAAAGCAAGCTACATCAAAGTGAGTGGGGCAAGATAATAATTTCTTACATTGATTAATTTTTATAGTTTGCAAAGTGAATGCATGTTCATATTTGTAGACCAGACAGGTATTAGAATCATTTAATGGCTCTGAGACTGAGTTCAGAAGGGGTAAGTGACTCCGGAAAGAGACAATATGAGAATGCAAATCTGTACTTAAAAACCAATGCAAGGAGCACTTCCCGCGTACCTGGTGCCGGAGAATCGGAGATGAATAGGACCAGTTTCTTACCCTTGAGGATTAATCTAGACATACGTGTATTCAAAGGCTCCTCACTAGAGACATTAGCCCTTTCCCAACGTGTATTCAGAGGCTCCTTACTAGAGACATTAGCCCTTTCCCAGTGACAGAGCTCCACAAGGCCACCCCTTCACCCTCAGGGGCCCCTGGTGACCTTGCTGAGGTAGTTTGATCTCAACCCCTTACTGCCAGGCCCTGTCCTGCTGCGATCTCTCGGTTGGTACTACTCTAACTTTAATCTCTATTTTGGAAATATATGCCAATTTACTGTATTTTTTTCTGGTTCTAGAATTTCCATTCATTAATTTCTTTAAAAAATATATATATATTATAACTTATATCGATATATATATATATTATAAAATATATGTTTTTTATCAGAGAGGAAGGGAGAGGGAGAGAGAAATAGAAACATCAATGATGAGAGAGAATCATTGGTCGGCTGCCTCCTGCACACCCCCTACTAGGGATCGATCCCACAACCAGGGCATGTGCCTTGGCCAGAATCGAACCTGGGATCCTTCAGTCCACAGGTCGACTCAGTCCACTGAGCCAAACCGGCTAGGGCAGTGGTCGGCAAACTCATTTGTCAACAGAGCAAAATATCAACAGTACACCGATTGAAGTTTCTTTTGAGAGCCAACTTTTTAAACTTAAACTTCTTCTAATCCCACTTCTTCAAAATAGACTTGCTTAGGCCGTGGTATTTGTGGAATAGCCACACTCAAGGGGCCAAAGAGTCTCATGTGGTTTGCCAGTTTGCCAGTCACGGGCCTAGGGCAACCATTTATTTCCTGATATTTTCTATTTTTTCATTTATTCCAATGAAATATTTGTCTTTACTTTGTTGAGCATAGTTGCGATACATCCTCTAAAATTCTTATCTGCCAATTTTAACATTTGGGTCATCTTGGGATTGGTTTGCATTCATTATCTTTTTTTCTTAAGACTGGGTCACACAGTCTGATTTTTTTTTAAATGTCAAATGATTTTGGATTGTGTGCTAGACATTCATACTGTAAAGTCTCTGAATTTTGTTTGATTCTCACAAAGAATTTTGATGCTTAACTTTTTCAGACAATATCTTTGGACTCAAACTGCAGACTCTTCCTCATGAACAAAAAGCTTTAATAGCACCTAAGTTCTCTTATCTTTCCAACGCATGCATGGTTCATTCAAGAGTCACCCAAAGCCTAAGGCAGAAATTACATTGGAATTTAGGGCTGCCCCTCCCTCGAAATCTCATCTCACTTTTCCCTTTCCATGGTTGCCCTGAACTCCGTCCTTTGGTTCATCGGGGTAGAAGGACTTGTGTGGGCTTCCTATCTGAGTCTTAGCCATCCTTTATGTCTCTGACTTATCTTCTCTCAAGTAAACACCAGTAAAAACAAGAAACCCAGTGATGTCATCCTTTTGATATCATTCATTTTTCCCCTCCCCAACACCACCTTGTGAACCTCAACACCTTTAGGTCATTGATTTCAGGAAGGAAGGGGTTTGTAATTTTATTCTAAGGGATGGTTGGGCCTGGTAGAACCTCACAGAACTATCTTTTCTTTTTTTCAGAGAGGAAGGGAAAGGGAGATAGAGATAGAAACATCAATGATGAGTGAGAATCATTGATTGGCTGCCTCCTATATGCCCGCTACTGGGGATCAAGCCCACAACCTGGTCATGTAACTTGACCGGGAATTAAACTGTGACCTCCTGGTTCATAGGTCGATGCTCAACCACTGAGGCACACCGGCCGGGCCAGAACTATCGTATAGCACTATGCCTTTGTGTAAGTTTCTGCCTGCAGGAAGGTTCCACCACAGAAAAATAAAACCAAAAGTTTGAAAATCCACTATATTTATCCCATTTCAAACCAATTTTTAAATTCTCTAACATCAGTAATAGGTGACCTGCAAATCTAGTCTTTGCTGCGAACACTGCCAATGTTGGAGACCCGGCCCTTTTCCCCACTCCTCAGCATCCCAAGACCCACAAAGGCTCTCTGTCTGACTCCCCTTAATGGCAGAATTTTAGCAAAGCTTCTTGGAAAGAAAAGCTGGTTGAACGCCAGCAGCTAAGAGTTGCATTTCTTTGATGAACATTTAAAATGGATGGTTTTGGTGGAAGAGAGTTATAAAAGGCGGAAGCGTGCAACTGAGCCTTTATTTTGACTTCTGGCTGACCCTCCCAGAGCCTGTTTGGCCTGGCGTCTGTCACAGTGCACGTAGCATTCTGGAACTAAGCCAAGGAAGGCCATCGGCCATCAGCCTGGACCGTCTGCCACTGCACTGACCTACTGAGGAAGGAGACAAGAAGATAACAGGGCTTCCTTGTGGTTATAGTAGAAGATAACCCGAGTGACAGTGGGTCAGGCCCAGATATGATGAAAGATTTGGGGCATTCTCTTGTGTAAACAAGCTAAAGATAGTAGAGGAATACTACAGTCACATGGATGCTGGTCATGGCAGTCGGAGCCCTGGGTCCTACACTGAATGTGCCTGTCACTCCCTAACCTTGAAGAAGTCTCCTCAAGCCGAAACCGGTTTGGCTCAGTGGATAGAGCGTCGGCTTGGGGACTGAAGGGTCGCAGGTTCGATTCCGGTCAAGGGCATATACCTTGGTTGCGGGCATATCCCCAGTAGGGGGTTTGCAAGAGGCAGCTGATCGATGACTCTCTCTCATCGATGTTTCTAACTCTCTATCTCTCTCCCTTCCTCTCTGTAAAAAAAAAACACAATAAAATATATTTTTTAAAAAAGAAGTCTCCTCAATGTTCCATGTAATTTCCCATAGGGAGGGATGGGCTCCAAGGAGAAGCTAAGTGGAGAAAACGTACACGTGAAAGCATGTGGAGGTGGAAGTCATCGAGCCTGGAAAGGATTCGTTTGTGTCGATGGCGGCTGCGATAGCATAGGAATCACTCTTTCCCTTCATGTCAGGTTCTCCGGCCAGAGCTTGAAGAGTGTATCATTCACCTCTGTTCCTCTGAGGAGCAGAGTTTTGAAAGTGTTGTTTCCTTGTGTCACAACATAATGTATTTTGAGTTAGTTAATTCTCTGGTAAAGTCTGCAGCCCATCCATGCATCCCACCCACCCTCCTCCTAAGAGAACAAAAGAACAACGGTGCAATGCACTCTCTGTCTCTTGAGCCTTTTTAATCCGTTCTCTTTTTTAAACTTTTTTATTTAAAAATATGTATTTTTTTCAGATTTAAAACCAGCCAATGCGACTGGGGGCCCTCGGTCATTTCACCTCAGGAATTCCAAGGATGTATTTGAACCTTTCCCAGTGGACGACTATGAGGACAGAAGCGGCAGTGGGTTCACCGAAGGCGGCTTGAACTCCACCAACCACAGCAGGCCTCTGCAGAAACGACCCCGGGTGTACATCTCCGAGGATGCCTCGGGATACCTGACCAGCGCCTGGCTGACTGTCTTTGTCCCCTCCGTGTACACGGGCGTGTGCCTGATCAGCCTTCCCCTGAACATCATGGCCATCGCCGTGTTCATCGGGAAGATGAAGGTCAAGAAGCCGGCCGTGGTGTACATGCTGCACCTGGCCACGGCGGACGTGCTCTTCGTGTCCGTGCTGCCGTTCAAGATCAGCTATTACTTCTCCGGGAGCGACTGGAAGTTTGGGTCCGAGATGTGCCGCTTCGTCACCGCGGCCTTCTACTGTAACATGTACGCCTCCATCATGCTCATGACGGTCATCAGCATCGACCGGTTCCTGGCTGTGGTGTACCCCATGCAGGCCCTCTCCTGGCGCACCATGGGGAGGGCAGCCTTCACATGTGCGGTCATCTGGGCCATGGCTGTCGCCGGGGTGGTGCCCCTTCTCCTCAAGGAGCAAACCACCCGGGTGCCCGGGCTCAACATCACCACCTGCCACGATGTGCTCAACATAACCCTGTTCGAAGGCTACTACGCATATTACTTCTCGGCCTTCTCCGCCATCTTCTTCTTCGTGCCGTTGATCATCTCCACAGGCTGCTACGTGTCTATCATCCAGTGCCTCAGCTCCTCCACAGTCGCCACACAGAGCAAGAAGACGCGGGCTCTGTTCCTGTCCGCCGCTGTTTTCTGCATCTTCATCGTGTGCTTCGGGCCCACCAACGTCCTCCTGATTCTGCACTACGCGTTCCTCTCCCGGGACCCCAGCAGCGAGGCCGCCTACTTCGCCTACCTCCTCTGCGTCTGTGTCAGCAGCATAAGCTGTTGCATCGACCCCTTGATTTACTATTACGCTTCCTCCGAGTGCCAGAGGTACCTCTACAGCATCTGCTGCTGCAAAGAGAGCTCTGACCCCAGTAGCAGCAGCGGCCAGTTGATGGCGAGTAAAGTGGACACCTGCTCTACCAACCTGAACAACAGCATCTACAAAAAGCTGTTAACCTAGGAAAGGCACTGCTGGAGGGTGACCAAGGAACATTTAAAAAAAAAAAAAAGAACCTGAGGATTCTGTCAGTCCCTGCCAAGAAAGTATTTACTCTCTTAAACAATAAATGTGTGATTTGCATGCCTCCTCCTTAAAAGGGCCATTAAGGATATATATATTTATTAGTAACAGAAAAGGGTAACATGAATAGGAAAATGTTATTCCAAGCCAATGCTACAATAAAAACTGAATATTACTTTTTGATATATTCAATATTTAGGTGACTTACATAAATGCATGTGACTTACATATTTGTGTGTGTATATATATATGTATAATACACATGCTTGCAATGCAGTATAGACCAGACACTTTGAAACCTTCTTTCCCTCTCCCCTCCACCCCCCCCCCAGAGATTATGGAAATAAACTCGGATTCTCTGATTTAATATGCAAGGTCTAGGTTGATGGAGGTTAGCCCTGAGCATCTGAAGATGTCCATCAATAGTGAAGTACTCTATAGTTTGGACTTTTTACAAATAACTTTATTTTTAAATTGTTCAACAGCTTTAAGTTATTAAGAGAGAAGAGTGCTATCTAGGTGTAGAAAAAGTTCTGTGTTGTTGTGTTTTTTTTTCATTTTAAACATCAAAGTTTGAATTCTTTAAATTATATAAACATGATATGGGTAGCATTTTTTTTTTTTAATAATGTGTTTTTATTGATTTCGGGGAGGAAGAGAGAGGGAGAGAAAGACAGAAGCATCATTGATGAAAGAGAATCATTCATTGGCTGCCTCCTCGCCTCCTACTGGAAATCAAGCCCTCAACCCAGGTACATGCTCTTGACCGGAATCAAACCTGGGACTCTTCAGTCTGCAGGCTGATGCTCTATCATTGAGCCAAATGGGCTAGGGCTGGGTAGCATTTTTGATGTGTTAACATTGCATATATAAACCAAGAATGAGCATAGGCCCCACTAGTGACCTGAGGTTGGCCCCGGATAGAGGACTTCAGGCAGTACATGTCCATACATGGCAGGGTCGGCTCAGACACCTGCAGTTGAGTCACCCAGGGAGCCAGGGATCAGAATCACCACATTCACTCTCCTGGGGTGCCCGCAGGGATTGGCTATGAATGACTGAATTTGGTAGAGATTGGCAGAATAAGATGTGCTATCCTGGGAGACAATGAATATGAAACACTTCTCTGCCCACTCCTTTTAAGAACAGAAAAAAGGCATGTTCACTTCCAGCAGTTACCCTGCAAGGTCCATTCTCAGATGGAGACACCCATGGAGCAAGTGTGAACACCATGCTGTGCTCCGGCACTCTGATGGGTGCTGGGCAATAGAGGTGAACCAGAATAGGTCCTCCCCTCAAGAACAAAGCAGACCAGGCATACAGTGTGATGTGTATAAGTATGTCGTTATATAGAGAAGTGTTTTTAGCCAAATGTCATCCAACCAGTTTCACACAGCCTGTCAGTTGAAAAACTTTGAACATGTGGATTACTGCTTCCTGTGGTCAGAACTTGAGATGAAAACACAATACAATACAGGAAGTGTATTTTTAAAAATAAGTCCTTTAGTCTATATAAATGGACACTGTTTATTTACAAATGTTTTCAATAAATTACCCAAATCAAGTTTTAAAAAAGAATTATGTCAGTCTGATTAGAAATAACAGAAGAAAATTAAATTGACTTTCAATTCTAGCAAAACCGTTCTGTATTTTTCATTCACTTTTCTTATTAATGAAATCATTTTAAAAGCATTTTGGGGTTTGTTGCCCCATAATGAGTATCATGTATAGAAAATCCTCACGGATTTGACAGAATAATTTGAAAATTAGATTGAAATGTATCTTTTTTTCCATATTAAAAAAAATGTTGGCATCTTAAACCAAGAAACGGAAAGTTCCAAGGCAAATGCTTACTTAAAAGAACAAACTATTTCCAAATGCCATAGAATAATTTACACTAAAGTATATTGTAGGGAGAAGCTAACATTGATTTTATTGATTTAGTTGCTATATTCATTTTATCCAACTCAGTGGAGATTTACTGTCATCGTTTATTCAGTCTGTGTGTGTGTGTGTGTGTGTATATATATATATATATATATATATATATATATGAAAATATATGAATATATATATATATATTCCTCTGATTTAAAACGACCATTACTACTTTATTATCAATCTGTACTTATAAAATATTATGTCACTGTTTTTATGTTCTCTCTTTTTTAAAAATGTGTGTAACCTGTATTAATAAACACAAAGGTTTGCTTGGTGCCTGTTTGGAACTCCTTATTATATCTCTCGGGGCCCTGGCAGGAAGGCCAGTATCAAAGTTGCGCTGAAGAGCGTTTAATGAAGAGGTGGTTTGCAGAGGTGTGGGCTGGGTTTCGTCACCAACAGGGGTTCGTGAAGCTCCTCGGGGCCTAGCAGTGGGGGAAGCTGCTATCGCCCCAGGACCAGGTGGAGGATGGGCTACCCTGACCCCATTCTCTGGTTTTTCACTGGTGCCTCCCATTGCTGCTGATCTTAAACCAAACCCAGAGGTCAAGAGGCCCTGGGTGACGTGGTCCATAAAGGAGCAGGGGGAAGGGTTAGGGGTGGGGGAGCACAATTTCTACCGAAGGCATTAGGTGGTTCGCTTTCTGGGTCTTTTTTTTTTTTTTTTTTTTTTTTAATCCCTTAGGAAAATTCAAGATTATATCATTGATAATACGTTCAGGTTCTTAGGTTACAGGCACAGAGGATAGAGTTGGCAGTTCCTTCCTAGAGAGAAACAAATATCAGAGCCAGGATGATAAATTGAGACCCAAAAAAAGAATGTCCTTGGTCACGATCCTTTGCCATCAAACTCTTTGGGGTAGAGGGAAGGAGGGGAAATGTTAAGCAAAAGAATTGAAAATCAATAAAACTTCTGATAATGTATTTCTAGATTCATAGTCAATAGGGAAATTATTTCACCTACATAAGAGTTCTAGGAACACAGATTTTAAGTTAACACACAAGTGTAGGTTTCTGGGGCCTGGGCCCCACACACGCTTCAGGAGGAGATATAATGAAGGAAGTTGCCCAGCTTCACCAAAACAGGCTTCCCACTCTTAGCAGAAAGGGAGGGACCTTTAAACTCTTCTATTATTAGTTTTCAAAATATCTTTGAATTTAAAAAGAAAATTACACTTGGAATTTGTTAACACAAAAATGTTTGTTTTTCCCACCAAGTCAAAAATAGGACTTTTAAGGAAATGGAATATTTGGCTGTTGACTATATAAGTGGAAAATTTTAGGTTATACTTCTGAATTTAAGAAATTAAGGAAAACGTTAGCACCTCCTTCAGGAAGTCTGAGTTCCGAAAACAAGTGGAAAAAGTTAAGCAGTGTGTGTGACAAAGCTTTTTCATTTTCTGAGGCCTGCACCCTCCACTAGGAGCTTATCTCCACCGAGATGTCAGAGTGAAAATGAAGGGGGAACACAGTCATGACAGTAAGTTCCTGGCAGATTGGCATAGTTGTGTGGCCGCTCCTTTCAAAATGACGGCCTGGGGATCAACCTAATTGTGTTTTAATGCAGGAGTTGCAATTAAGTGAGCTGCAGTCGGAGCTGCATGGAGAAATGTTCCAATGCAATGGTTTTTGGAGTCCTAGAGACCCTTTAGGACACATGTGAAGGCAAAACTACATTAAACACAGAGACATTATCTGTCCTGTTTTGGTCTGATTCTCTCACAAGTATACTGTTGAGTTTTCCATGGGCTACAAGATACCTGATGGTGTGACAGATTGATAATGAAGCAGGCAGGAAAATCTGACTGTCTCCTATTCAGCTAGCCAGTAAAGAGATTTGCAAACATATAAAAAGTGCAAATCTCCTCATTAAATTATTGCTTGGGGGAGAAAATACTTCCGCAGAAACTATTTTTGTTAACATGTAATGGGGCTTATTATTTTTAAGTAAAAAATATTTTCCAGAGTTCTTTATTTTAATGTAGTAACTATTGGTAGATACAGTGTTTTGCTGTTAAATCTGATCTCCAAAAAAAAGCCCCTACTTTTTTAGCGTTTGCCAGTTTCCATGATGTATATATACTCCCTCTGTTGCCAATTTTAAGCTTCCAGTGGTTTAATAGTTGGCTTGAAAATTCCTTTAATTCTCATGAGCTGGTACAGCCCCTCACTATAACCTACACACATGAAAACGTTTTAAATAATTTTTAATATTAAGGTGACCTGAGCTAAAAATGTTTTAGAACCCTGCTCTTATGCTAGATTTCCCAATGATATCACCTTCGAGAAGATATGGAAACTGGTCACAATTATAAAGCACAGAAGGGGTGGCCAGTTGGCTCACTGCTGCAGGCCCCACACTGGGGTTCTGTCAGCCCCACAGCTGAGGGGTCAGTAACTTGCTCCATAGAAACTGATTCCAGGCAGCGGGGCCTGTGTGGCTGTGTGGTCCGAGGCTGGGAAGCTGTGTGTGAGGCCTGGTCTCCATCCAGCTGCCGTGCACCACCACGGTGCCATCGCTGTAAGGTGAGCGTCAGGCTCCACGCTTCTTGCCCTGAGGACTGTTGTGACTGCACGCTGCTCTTCTGGAGACACTAAAAAACAGAGGTCAGAGTCAGCAACATCTTAGAACTCAGATAGCGCAGTATGTGTCTACCCAGCTCTCCGTGTGTTCATCACTTCAGGAAATGACTCATGAGCCCCAAGGAGATGAGCTTTGAAAGCTGCATTTAGCTGGAGGCACTGGGCGGTGGCATGTTGTCCCTCTTAATAACCACAAAATTGGGCTCTTTTGTGTGCTGCTCTGTGTCCCACCCAAGGGGAATGAGGACATGGCCAAAGGTGGGGTTGCCAGTACTAAGGTGCATGTAGGGGCAGGTTCTCAATTTTATTTTATTTTTTGCATTTTTTTTCCATTGTGTGTGTTTTTCTTATCCCGAGGTACCTAGTTGCTCTTGAAAGTGATCAACATGAGATCAAAAAAACACATTTTTTAAAAATAGATCCCTGTCCTCCAAGAGGTAACTGTTTATTATTATTATTATTATTATTATTATTATTATTTAATTATATAATATTGTAGTTAAAAATCATGGAATTTGAAGAGTTTTATCAAGTCTGCCTCGTTGGAAGTTTTACAAGCTTTCTAAGTCACTGCTCATGCCTGGCTGCACGTAGAGCTTCTGAACAATTCCAGGGCCCAGTCCTTCCGACCAGTAGGAATCAGAGTCTTTGGGGGCAGAGCCTGGGCATGTGGTTTACAAGCTCTCCAGCGATGTGTAAGCCAGAGTAGATTCCTACCGCTGTTTCAGGAGGGTGCTTCTCAAATGTAACATGCATTTGTATTATCTGGGGATCTTGTTCAATGGTAAACTAATGTGGCAGTGTCTGGGGTGGGGTCTGTATGTCTAACAAATTCCCAGATGATGCTGACATAGCGATTCCTTAGGTCACAATTTGGTGTAGCAGGGCCCTAAGATATAACCCCGAGGCAAAATATAGTGCTCACCAGGTTGGAGGTCTGAATGCATAATAATCTGGCCACTCAGTGTATGTATATATATTAGAGGCCTAGTGCATGAATTTTTGCATGGGTGGGATCCAGCCAGCCTGGCCAGGGGGAGGGGACATGGGCGGTTGGCTGGCCTGCCTACTGGTTGAACTCCTGGTCATTTGGA